TACGAAGACTAAGGTTTTGGAAGGATTTCGTCTTGCGCGCGCGAATGTGCACTTCGTGTCATTTTTTGCAAGGGATTCTTGAAGTTTGGTCATGTTAGAACAAGAAATGTCCACTTTGCCTTATTTTTTGCAAGGGAAAACCGATCGTAACAACACAACCGGATCCGGACACCCACGTTTTGCCTGAGACTTCCTCACGAAAATGATGAAAATGCGGCTGCGGCCTAGGCGCGGCGGGGGGGGCGCGCACCAGGGGTCCCAACAATAATTATTCTTTAGAATTAATAATATTCAACAACAACAACAACAACAACAACAACAACAACAACAACAACAACAACACAACAACAACAACAACAACAACAACAACAACAACCACAACCACAACCACAACCACAACCACAACCACAACCACAACAACCGCAACCACAACCACAACCACAACCACAACCACAACAGCAACAACAACAACAGCAGCAGTAACAACAACAGCGACAACAACAACAATGACAACGACAACGACGACGACAACAACAACAATCAGTGTGAGACTGTTCGCTCTTATCTGCTCGAGTGTCCATTAACGCGTATTTCCCAAACCCCCGATACCCGCCCTCTTCGTCTTCGATCATACCCCTTTTGTGGGGTAGACTTGTTTCCCTGTAGGCCCGGCCCCGGCAAGCGGCGGGGCGGCCTTGGACAGTCGGCATGGCCAGCGGCAGCGCTGATCGGCGGCAACCCGACCCCAAGAGGGACGGACAGCGGACCGACCACGACGACGACGACGACGTCGTCGACAACGACGACGGCGACGACGACGACGAGCGAAAGCGAGAGCGAGAGAGAACGACAGCAGGGCCACGAAGGGCACGAAGTAGGCCACGAAGGGCGACAGCGGGGACACGAAGGGAATGCGTATGGGGCCACGACGGGCGCGAACGAGCGGGGACCACGAAGGGCATATAGTGCGGGGCCACAGAAGGCAACGACGGGGCCACTGAGGGTAGCAACTGGGCCACGTAGGACAGCGAGGGGGCCACGAAGGGCGACAGCGGGGCCACGGAGGGCATGCACATGGGGCCACGACGGGCGCGAACAAGCGGGGGCCACGAAGGGCATACACATATATATATAATATATATATATATATATATATATATATATATGGGGCCACGAGGGCAGCGAGGGGGCCACGAAGGGCTGCAACGGGGCCACGAAGGGCAGCGAGGGGGCCACGAAGGGCTGCAACGGGACCACAAAGAGCAGCGAGATCCCGATTCCTAAAGAATACGTGAGGGAGTCATAAGCGTGAGCGTGACTCCTGGGTGCCTCAGTGTTGGGAGCGCGGCGCTTGAGTAAATCGCGGGAAATTCCAACGCAAGGGGGCTATTCTTGAGTAAATTGCAAGCAAGTCTCCAGCGAGAGCGCGACTCCAGAGCGCCGAGACAACGCAGTTTGAGGAGGATGAGTCTCCCTCATAAAAAACAGGGTGCGAGCGCCAGCACTTCAATTGAAAAAAACAATGTGCACTGGAGGGGGGGGGGTCATCAATAATTATTTTTCAGAAATGAGAGTTCAACGACAACAACAACGACAACAACACCAACAACAACAACAACAACAACAACAAAAGCGGCAGCAGCAACAACAACAACAATAACAATAACAACAACAACAACAACAACAACAACAACAACAACAACAACAACAATTACTAGCACGTGGGGACACTCCGTTCTCACCAGTGCCAGGGTTTTCATAGGAGGCGGGCAATACCCCCACTTTGTGGGGGGGCCGGTTCAAGCTCTACCAAATTTCCAAACGACTCTTCGCCACCACCCACACCCAGCTTCCCGCCCTATGACGTTCGGACACTTCACTTCGTGGCATGCGGACGACCGTGGCTACTATTCAGGGCCCCGCGGCCGACGACGACGGCGTGCGCGCGCGAAGAAAAAACGAATGTGTCCCGCATGGTATTATTTGACAGGGATGATGGCCCTGGCAGGTGCGCAACCGTTGTCGCAGAAGTTCGAAAAAGTTGCTCGCAAAAGCCCGTTTGACAGAAATGTTTAAAAAGTGTTGGGTTTCCTACGAATCCGCAAGAGCGCGCGGGATGAGATTTTGACATTTTTTTGTTGAAAAACCATTGGTTTTTTGATGTTTTTATGTTAAAATCGCTCCGAACACTAAGCTTTTGGAAGGATTTCGTCTTGCGCGCGCGAATGTCCACTTTACCTTATTTTTTGCAAGGGATTCTTGAAATTTGATTATATTAGAACAAGAAATGTCATTTTATAGTGTTTTTTGCAAGGGAAAACGGATTACAACAAAACAACCGGATCTTGATGACATCGTATTACCTGAGGCTTCCTCACGAAAATGATGAAAATGTAGCTGCGGCCTAGGCGGCGCAGGGGGGCCGTGCACCAGGGGTCCCAACAATAATTATTCTTTAGAATTAATAATGTTCAACAACAACAACAACAACACCACAAAAAAAACACGCTGTGAACGTCGGCCCGTCTCGCTGGCCCCGTGGAAGATCCCGCAAAGGCGGCCCGTCGACGACGTGTCCGCCCGAGGGGGCCCCACGAGGGTCCCAGAGAAGGCCCCGGCGGCAGCAAACAGGAAAAAGACGACCAAAGTGGCCCCCCAGGTGGCTAAAGGTGGCTGCAGGAGGACCGAAGGTGTCCCCATGACAGCCCAAGATAGCCTCAAGGCTAGAAAAAAACACAAACAAACAAAAAACAAGGGGGAGGACAGGAGGGTCTAAAGAGGCAAAGCTCATTGATTACTGTTTGTTGCTTCAATTTGTCTCGCGACCTCGCGTGTGTCGGCTTCAGCCCAGGACGGCCGAAGAGACTCCTAAGATCGCCCCAAGCTACCCACAAAGGCACCCAAGAGGGCCCCAGCACAGCCCAAGAGAGCCACAATATGGAGACGGCCCTACAGTTCGAGGCGGGGAATCCCACCAGCCCTCTGGGCGTCGGTGGTTTAGGGCGTTTACTCTTCCACCCCTCCCTCTTCCCCTTCGGGGAGGGGTTTACCCCTCCCCCTACCCCCTCCCCACTGACCTGGACAGGAGGGGCGGGGAGCGGTCAGAGCGTCCAAAACGAGCTCGGCGAGGAAGCCAAAATCATTGATTTTACTATGGTTTTGGCCCCATTTTGGCCTTCTGAGGGGGCAGCGCTAATTAGAGCTCACCTCTTCTTTCATCGATTTCCTCCACGATGGCCGCAAGAGGCCCCCAGGATGCCCCAAGAGGCCCCGAGATGGCCCCAAGATGGCCCCATGTGGCCCCAAGAAGCTCCCAAGAGGCCCCCAGGATGCCCCCAAGAGGCTCCCAAGAGACCCCCACGAGGCCCCAAGGGACCCCCCAGAGGCACCCAAGACGATCCAAGAGGCCTCGGCGAGAATGCCCAAATCATTGATTTTACTAAGGTTTTGGCCACATTTGGGCCTCCTGGGGGGGGTGGCACTGCTTCAGATGACTCCAAGAGCGCCTGGGAGAGCCCAAGATGACCTCCAAGATGGCTCAAGATATCCCAAGACGCCTCAAGATGGCTCCCACGATGCTCCAAGAGGCCCCAAGACCGCTTCAAGACGGCTCCAAGTGGCCAAAGAGCTCCCCCATGAGGCCCCGAAGACGCCAAAATCCTTCCAAAACCTTCGGAAAATCAACATGTTGGGCTTTCTCGCCTTTTCGCTTCCGATGGCCATCCGAGGCTTCAAGATGACTCCAAGATGGCCCAAGAAGGCTCCAAGAGCGCTCTGAAGGCTCCCAAGAGCGCTTCAAGAGGGCCCCACGAGGCGCCCATGAGGCCCCAGGAGGCCCCAACAAGCGCCCCAGAGGCCTCCAAGAGGCCCCCAAGAGACCCCCAAGAGGCCCCAAGAAGCTCTCCAAAGCACCCAAGACGCTCTAAGAGGCGTCCGGGACCGCCAAGAGGCCCCTAAGACGCTCCAACCGGCCTCCACTGGGGTACCCTTCCTTTGTGTGCTGCCCACTTCCCTGATCGAGGCACTTCCTCTGGGCATCGTTTCTGGATGGGCTGGTGGGGTTACGCGAAGCGTCTAGAATTATCGATATCCACCGCCTGGGAACTGACGTCCTGGTGCCCCAGCGGGCGGTGGATATGGATATATTTTAGCCCCCGGGGAACCCAATTATATCCATATCCACCGCCTGCCGAGTTCCCCGAAAATTGATCCTCCAGGCGGCGGCCATGCATAGATTCCAAGCCCCAGGACAGCCCACAGAGAGCTCCCCAAAACGGCACATGAAGGCGTCAGATGGCCCAGGAGCGCCCCCTTTTTTATACGGCCCAGGAGAGCCCTTCGTTGGCTCTGGAAACGATAGGGCCGTTTTTGTTACCAGTTCCGACGCCGTTGCTTTACCAGTTCCGTCGCCGTTGTTTTACCGGTTCCGACTCCGGCTCCAATCCTGGATCCGTGTTTGTTACCGTTTCTGGTCGCCGTTGTTGTTGCCGTTTCCATGTTCAAAAAACTTGTCTTCGGAAACGGTGAGCAACGGCCCTGCCATTTCCGGGGCCCACTAAGGGAAAGCCCCAAGGTAGTCTCAGTAAGCCCCAGGATGCCCCCAAGCGAGCCCAAAACGCATTAACAAAAAACCCGAATACAGCCCAAAGACGGGCCCAGAGAATCCGTCCCTGATCGTCTTCCCCCAATGGTTTCCCCAGCTGCTGGGGGAAAATGCAGTCCGAGGCCATACTCCCGCTCGAGATTCCACAGGCGTTTGAAAAAAGTGCTGGGCGGCGGTGACTCAGAAGTACGCGTCTCCAATACATGCCAACCGAAGCGACAAGCCATTCGCATGCATGACTGGACGTATCCTAGGCTCCCCTGTCAAACCATGATGGGACTACCAAGTCAGCAATATTGCGATTGATCGCACTTCCAATCGGAATAGAAACAAAGGCAAAGAACCACTCGCCACAACGATCATAGCTGTCAATACATTTCCATTCAGAACCGCGGTCCTCGCGGCTGACCCAATATATGCAGTCGACAGGGCACGACATCACTGCCCAGTCGATGTCCTCCCCTCCCGCCTGCATCCCAATCAAGACGAGCAAACGACTGCAAAAAGAACGCCAACAGCCAAGATGGGGTCAGCCCCAAAAGGTAAGATGGACGGCGATGCAAACGCCACCCAGTCCTGACGCCCAAGACCACAAACTAGACGCGCTCCCAAACCCGAGCTCCTCATGAGCACAAATCGTGACAAACCTACGACTCCCCTGGTCAGGGCAGTTTCTGGGTGGGAAGGAGAAAGCAACCAGATGGGGGGAGAAGAAATGCACAGAGAGATTATGGATTCGAATTGGGCGGGCGAGGGAAGCCTGCAGGTCAGAAAGGAGGGGAGGCTGTATTCAGCCACTTGGCTCCGCCCATGCCCTTCCCGACCTCCTTGCCCTCCTCTGCAATCCCCTGTTCCTGCCCCATACACCTACCTCTACAGATGCACCTGCTCGCTACCAACCAGCACCACTTTCAGCAGGACCACTCGGGCGGCCGCCAACCAGCCAATAGCATCTCACCACCACGACCACCAACAAACGTTAACATACACGCACGCGCACGCACACCTATATCGATATACCTAGACGTATACACACAGTACGACTGCTGCTGCTCTTGCAACTACTACTATTACTACTACTTCTACTACTACTACTACTACTACTACTACTACTACTACTACCACCACCACCACCACTACTACTACTGCTGCTACTACTGCTGCTGCTGCTGCTGCTGCTGCTGCTGCTGCTGCTGCTGCCACTACTACTATTACTACTACTACTACTACTACTACTACTACTACTGCTGCTACTACTACTACTACTACTACCACTACTACTACTTCTACTACTACGACTACTACTACGACTACGACTACTACTATTACGACTACGACTACGACTACGACTACTACTACTACTACTACTACTACTACTACTACGGCTACTACGGCTACTACGACTACTACTACTACTACTACTACTACTACTACTACTACTACTACTGCTACTACTACTACTACTACTACTACTACTACTACTACTACTACTACTGCTACTACTACTACTACTACTACTACTACTACTACTACTACTACTACTACTACTACTACTACTACTGCTGCTACTACTACTGATACTACGACCACTACTACTACTACTACTACTACTACTACTACTACTACTACTACTACTACTACTACTACTACTACTACTACTACTACTACTACTACTACTACTACTACTACGACGACTACCACTACCACTACTACGACCTTTCGAAGATAACCCAAGAAGTTTGTGCATTTGAGTGTGCGCCCATAATGTCTGCGTCTGGAGAATAACACCGAGCGACCCGGATCGGCGGCACTGGCCGAAGGCCACTAAAATACTACGACTACGACGACTTCTACGATTACTACGACTACTACGACTACTACTACTACACCTACTACTTCTACTACTACTACTACTTCTACTACTACTACTACTACTACTACTACTACTACTACTACTACTACTACTACTACTGCGACGACGACGACTGCTACTACAACTACTACTACGACTATTGCCGCTACCACTACAAGAACTACGACTACGGCGCTGACTGCGACTACGACTACAACTATGACTACTACTACTACTACTACTACTACTACTACTACTACTACTACTACTACTACTTCTACTACTACTAAAAATCCGCCGATCCGGCGTGTGAGTTTCAAGGAGTCTCAGCTACAGCCTCGAGGCTGAGCCTCAGCCTCTGGGGGGGTTGCCGGGGTGGCTCTGCCGGGGAAGGGGGGATGGGGGGGGGGTGCGAGTTTCCGGCGGATGCGGGGCGCTGCTTTTACAGAAGGCTCTAATCTCGAGGATGCGCTGGAAGGGTGGTCGCGGCCGCAAAAGTCTCTGAGGACGGTCCACGAAAGTCCCGAGACCCCGAAGGATCGCCCGAACACGCCCAAGATGGCCCCAAGACGGCCCAAGAGGCCTCCCACGATGGCCCCCAGAGGCGATGTTTTTGGGGTTGTCGTTTTTTTCGGCTTTCCGACGCTCCAAGACGGCCCAAGAGGCCCCCAAGACCGCTCGAAGACAGCCCAGGAGGCCCCCAGACAGTCCCAAGACGGCCCAAGAGGGCCCCAAGGCGGCCCAAGAGCCGCCCAAGACGGCCCAACAGGCCCCCAAGACGGCCCCAAGAGGACCCAAAAGAGGGACGAAAAGCGAAAAAATCTAGCCTTCCAGCCCACGAGGCCCCCAGGAGGCCCCAAGAGCCTCCAAGAGGGCCTCCGAAAGCCCCCAAGAAGCCCCCACGACGCCCTGACAGGCTCCTAAGATGGCTCAAAAAACGCCCCAAGAGGGCGTCCTTGCGCCGATAGGCTCGCCTCCACCGCTCGCACCACATCGTCCAGGCCACATGTTTCGTAACACGACTCCGTGCACGACGTATCGTGAGTTTCCAAAGTGATCGGCATCCTGTATGGAATTTTCATGTCATTATTATTTCCCGCCCCCACGGTCACTGCAAGCACCCCGCCGTTGATAGAACCACTGTTGCGAGATGGCCCGATTGACCCAACTGCATTCCTACGCCCTTTCGAAGATAACCCGAGAAATTTGTGAATTTGAGTGTGCGCCCATAATGTCTGCGTCTGGAGAATAACACCGAGCGACCCGGATCGGCGGCACTGGCCGAAGGCCACTAAAATACTACGACTACGACGACTTCTACGATTACTACGACTACTACGACTACTACTACTACACCTACTACTTCTACTACTACTTCTACTTCTACTTCTACTTCTACTTCTACTTCTACTTCTACTTCTACTACTACTACTACTACTACTACTACTACTACTACTACTACGACTACTACTAGTACCAGTACTACTACGACTACTACTGCAACTACGACTACGACTACGACGACGACTACGACTACTACTACTACTACTACTACTAGAATTACCACTACTACTACTCCTATTACTACTACGACGACAACGACTACTACAAATACTCCCACACCTGCTGCTACTACTACTACTACTACTACTACTACTACTACTACTACTACTACTACTACTGCTCCTACTACTACTACGACTACGACTACTACTACGACTACAACTACTACGACTACTTCTGGTACTACTACTACTACTACTACTA